GGTCTGTTGGAAACAAGGCAAGTGTGCTTTATATATCTGTGGAATAATGTCCAGGGTGGGAGAAAGAACTCTTATCTACTTGAGACAAGTATGAATGTTGCAATTACCCGGCTTGATTAGCATTGAATGGCCTTGCAACTTCAAAGCCTGGTTGCTTCCTGCCTGGGGGGGGGTCCTTTTTTGGGAGGTGTTAAATGGCCCTGATTGTTTCTTGTCTGGAATCCCCCTGTTTTTGAGTGTTGTTGTTTATTTACTGTCCTAATTTTAGAGTTTTTAAATACTGGTGGCCAGATTTTGTTCATATTCATAGTTCTTCCTTTCTGTTGAAATTGTCCACATGCTTGTGGATTTCAATGGCTTCTCTGTGTGGAAGAAACAACCAGGGCCAGCTCCCAACAAAGGATCCCCAGGCAGGAAGCAACCAGGCTTTGAAGCTGCAAGTCCATTCAGTGCTAATCAAGCTGGCCAGTTGCAACATTCACACTTGCCTCCAACAGACAAGAGTTCTTTCTCCCATCCTGGACATTATTCCACAGATATATAAACCTCACTTACTTAGTTTCCAACAGACCTGACAACCTCTGAGGATGCCTGCCAGAGATGTGGGTGAAACGTCAGGAGAGAATGCTTCTGGAAGATAGCCAGACAGCCTGGAAACCTCACAACAACCCAATGATTCCAGCCATGAAAGCCTTTATTGATTATTATTTACTGTGTTTATACCCCACCCTTTTCACCTAGAGGTATGTGTGAATGTTGCAGTTGGCTACCTTGATTAGCATTTCGTGACCTGCAGTTTAAAGGCCCAACAAAGGATTCCTCCAGGCAGCAACCAGCTAGGCCTTGAAACTGCAGGCCGTCTAATGCTAATCAAGGCGGTCAACTGCAACATTCACACATACCTCTAGCAGACAAGAGATTTTCCCCCACCCTGGCCATTCCTCACCACCTCTGAGAATGGCTGCCATAGATGCAGGCAAAACGTCAGGAGAAAATGCTTCTGGAAGATGGCCAGACAGCCTGGAAACCTCACAACAACCCAGTGATTCCAGCCATGAAAGCCTTTATTTATTATTATTTATTTTTATTATTTATATATTTATCGTGTCAGGCAACCAAACAATTGTATTATATTTTTGACAGAACAAAACAAACAAACATACAAAAGACACAGAGTTTTGCAAGCTTGGTAGTTGATTAAATGTCCTTTGACCAGTATCTGGCCACTTGGAGTGCTTCTGGTGTTGCTGCAAGAAGGTCCTCCATTGTGCATGTGGCAGGGCTCAGGTTGCATTGCAGCAGGTGGTCTGTGATTTGCTCTTCTCCACACTCGCATGTCGAGGATTCCACTTTGTAGCCCCATTTCTGAAGGTTGGCTCTGCATCTCGTGCGTTCCAAGTCGCCCAGTCCTCTGTGTGCCCAGGGGGGAGTCTCTCATTTGGTATCAGCCATGGATTGAGGTGCTGGGTTTCGGCCTGCCACTTTTGGACTCTCGCTTGCTGAGGTGTTCCAGCGAGTGTCTCTGTAGATCTAAGAAAACTATGTCTTGATTTAAGTCATTGACGTGCTGGCTGATACCCAAACAAGGGATGAGCTGGAGATGTCACTGCCTTGGTCCTTTAACTATTAGCTGCTACTTCCCGGCGGATGTCAGGTGGTGCAATACCGGCTAGAGAGTGTAATTTCTCCAGTGGTGTCGGGCGCAGACACCCCGTGAAATTTTTTATTATTATTTACTGTGTATTAGAATGGCACTCAAAAGACACCTGCTTGAGTCTTCTATGCAGAGAAGCCCAGCCTGATCCTTCTCTAATTTCTCCTCATTCTTCTACAGGTCTTAATTCCCAACTGGACCATCGGTGCTTCCCCCTTTTCCTGACCCCAAATGCCCTTCCAGGTTGGAGCACCCAACGAGAAAGCAACCTGCGGATCACCAGCACCCACTTGAGTTTCGTTTTTAAAAATCCATGCCATTTCTTTGTTTTGAGAGCACACGTTAAGATGAGGATTGTCACTTCCAATACTTTTATAAATACTTTGTTTTTAACCTGTGTTTCCTTCATGTGTATGGATCATTTCAAGGGTGGGAAAGGTGGGCTGGGTGTTCATGGGACACTGCATGAGCTTTAACTTTTGTGGCCGGCTGCCACAGGAATCAAGGTGAGATGGGCCAAAACGAACAAAATGAAGTTCAACAGTTACAAATGCAAGATACTCCACTTAGGCAGAAAAAATGAAATGCAAAGATACAGAATGGGGGACAATGCCTGGCTCGAGAGAGTACGTGTGAAAAAGATCTTGGAGTCCTCGTGGACAACAAGTTAAACATGAGCCAACAATGTGATGTGGCGGCAAAAAAAGCCAATGGGATTTTGGCCTGCATCAATAGGAGCATAGTGTCTAGATCTCGGGAAGTAATGCTACCCCTCTATTCTGCCTTGGTTAGACCACACCTGGAATATTGTGTCCAATTCTGGGCACCACAATTGAAGAGAGATATTGACAAGCTGGAATGTGTCCAGAGGAGGGTGACTAAAATGATCAAGGGTCTGGAGAACAAGCCCTATGAGGAGCGGCTTAAGGAGCTGGGCATGTTTAGCCTGAAGAAGAGAAGGCTGAGAGGAGACATGATAGCCATGTATAAATATGTGAGAGGAAGTCATAGGGAGGAGGGAGCAAGCTTGTTTTCTGCTTCCCTGGAGACTAGGACAATGGAACAATGGCTTCAAACTACAAGAAAGGAGATTCCATCTGAACATGAGGAAGAACTTCCTGACTGTGAGAGCCATTCAGCAGTGGAACTCTCTGCCCCAGAGTGTGGTGGAGGCTCCTTCTTTGAAAGCTTTTAAACAGAGGCTGGATGGCCATCTGTCAGGGTTGATTTGAATGCAATATTCCTGCTTCTTGGCAGGGGGGTTGGACTGGATGGCCCATGAGATCTCTTCCAACTCTTTGATTCTATGATTCTATGATGCATACCATATGCCAGCAAATATGGAAAACACAAGAATGGCCATCAGACTGGAAAAAAATCCACTTATATCGCCATACCAAAAAAGGGAAATGCTAAAGACTGCTCAAACTTCCATACAGTGGCCCTTATTTCTCATGCCAGTAAGGTAATGCTAAAGATCCTGCAAGGAAGAAGACTCCAGCAAGACATGGAACGAGAGTTGCCAGATGGACAAGCTGGGTTTAGAAAAGGCAGAGGAATGAGAGACCAGATTGCCAATATCCGCTGAATAATGGAGAAAGGCAGGGAGTTTCAGAAAAACATCTATTTCTGTTTTATTAACTACTCTAAGCCTTTGACTCTGTGGAGGTCACTGTTTCTTTGGTTGTGGGTGAATTACAACATCCAGAAAGGAAGGTCAGTTCCCCCCAAACCCCTCCAGTAATCAATTTTTGGCATATCAAGTATGTGTGGCAAGTTTGGTCCATCAATATTTGGGTTCACAGTGCTCTCTAGATCAGTGGTTCTTCTCAACCTTCCTAATGCCACGACTCCTTAATACGCTTCCRCGTGTTATGGTGACCCCCAACCATAAAATTAGTTTCACTGCTACTTCATAACTGTCATTTTGCTGRTGTTATGAATCATCTTGTAAATACTCAGTTCTTGTGGGTTTTTTCGGGCTATATGGCCATGTTCTAGAGGCATTTCTCCTGACGTTGAACATGGCCATATAGCCCGAAAAAACCCACAAGAACTGAGTGATTCCGGCCATGAAAGCCTTCGACAATACATCTTGTAAATATCTGATATTCAGGATGTATTTTCATACAGTGGACCAAATTTGGCACAAAGCCCCAATACACCCAAATTTAAATACTCGTGGGATTGGGGGAAGGTATTAATTTTGTCTTGTGGGAGTTATAGTTGCTGGGATTTATCGTTAACCTACAATCAAAGAGTATTCTGAACTCCACCAACGATGGAATTGAATCAAACTTGGCACACAGAACTCCCA